ACATTGTGGCTGGTTGTTTTATTTTGTAATGTTTACACAAGGTTGAGACAGGTGATGCTTAGAAAAAGTATCACAATGCAATGTCTGGATTGAAACCTGAGAGTGGGGGAGAGAAATCAGCATTTGAATGAACAAGGGTAAGGTGTATAGATTTCAAAAGCACATTATACCAACAATACCCGTCTCCCTAAAACAATCACACAGGGTTTTTGGTTTTGTTTTTTAAAAAAAAGCTTTATTGTTCCCTCCAAGGGAGTAATGCCAAGGAATGAATGGTCCTCCTGCCCCCTGCTCTGGGGAACAGATGGACAAAACAGTGTAGGACAAGCCATGGCCCCTCAGTCTGGGCTGTTTCCAAGCCAAGGCTACTCATCAAATAGTCCTGGCCCTGGGAAACAGGCACCTAGACCAGGATCAGGACTCCCAGCCTACATAGCTCTAGAAGGACCACGGCTGAGCAGTTCATCTCCTGGCCACCAGATGTTCTACAAGAGGCTGGGCCCAGACCAGATCTCCCCCAGGTCGGATGCAATGAAGACAGGAACAGGGCTGCAGGCTTGGGAGTGCCTGTTGACCGAAAGATCTGCAAGATCTGGGGACCCTGGCTGGAGTTTCTCCTGCTGAGTCAGGGAGAGGGGGTCCCCGGAAAACCCAAATGGATCTGGGGAGACAGAGGAGAACACTGCAGCTCCTCGCTGGGGACTACTTGTCAATGAGTCCTCCCTCCTTGAGTTTGAAGTAGAAGAACTTCTCCAGGGCACTGGCGCAGCGACAATATTCACTGTCCGGGGGATTGTACTCCCGGCAGTTGGCAATGACCCGCTGCAGGTCGGCTACAAAGAGCTTCCGGGTCACGTAGTAGCGACTGCGCAACCGTTCTGTCATGGTCTTCAGGTCTGGGTCAAAGGGGAGAAGGGACAGCCTTTAAGAAGCGAAGGAGTGTGGCTGGGACTGCCCGCCGTGGCGGGTTCCTGACTCAACCCGGGCAGGAGCAGATGTGGGGCACAGCTGGGAAAGTGAAGGCAGGAGGGTTCTCACCAATGGGAAAGCGGATAACCTCGTAGTAGTCGGGGGCCTCTGACTTCTTCACGGGTTCCATGAAGGGCCAGGCACTGGGGTGTGACTGGAAAGAAAGATTTGAGCTGGAGACAGGCCCGCAGTGCACTCTGCCCAACCCAAGACTGCCACCCACCTCAGTTAACCCTAGAAGAGAACCTGGGCCTCTACCTTGATCTGAGCCAGCAGGTTTTTGAGGGTTGTGTACAACTGGTCGGGGTCCTTCAGCTCTTTGCTGGAATGAGAGATGGCAAGTCAGGTCTGGGACCTTCTCTAACCCCAGGGCCCCGTGCTCACTCCCCCTGACTAAACACTTACCCTTTCTCCTTTCCCAATGGCTTCCAGCCTGTCTCTCCTGCGGAGGAGAAGAAAACATCCCTAAGAATGCTTGCCTGTGCCCTGAGAATGCCCTCCTGCCCTGTCAGCCAGGCCCCTGCTCACGAATGCCGGGGACGCTCTCCACAGGGATCTGCCTCACTCCCTCCTTGAAGCAGCTGAGTCCGGGGTAGACCTTGCGGATCTGTGCCTGCTTGCGTTCAATCAGCTTCTTGATGATCTGAGGAAGCAAGGGTCTGAGGGGCCAACTCCAGTCCAATCACCCCCCCAAGGCCATGGTCAGTAAATGGCAACATTCTGACTTTTCCTAAGAGGTAGGACAAGAGCCAAGACGTGGCCTGTCTCCACCACAGGTGCACATACACATAAGCCTTTGCACACTTACTTGCCAATGCAAGCTCGCAAGACCCCTATGGATACAGGTGCGCACCTCTTTTTGTTTCTTGATGATGTGGGACAGCTCTGTGTAGGGGATCCGGGGGTTCAGCTCACACTCCATCAGCGTAGCGCCTTCGTAGTCCTTGATGTAGCCCAGATAGCGGCTCTTAGGCACCTTGATGTCCTTGGAGAAGCCCTAGGTGAGTGGATAGTTAAGACCCAATCTATCAGCAAGGACTCTCCAACTTTCACGGCCAATTCTTCAGGAGTAACTGAGAGACAGTGTGTGGCATGGCTCCTCCACATCTCTAGACATCCTGGCAGCAGCGTGGGAACTCTACCTGCCCCTGGAAAGGCCCTGAGCCGGCTGGCTGCTCCTAACCTCCTCCAATCCCCAAAAGGATGACCTTCCAACCCCTGCTCTTTACTGGGTGGCATTAGGGAGAAAATAGTAAGAGAGGCCCTTCCTTACTGGTGCCAGGTGCAGCAAGGGAAAAGAAGGGACTGTTGTTATACTACTGGAAATTGGGCACACAAGCTGGGGGCCGAGGCAGCAGGCGTGGCGGGACAGGGCTTGCCTGCTTTTTGAAGTAGCCGATGGCATATTCATCAGCATAGGTCAGAAAGTACAGGATGCTGTGCTTGATGTGGTACTCCTTGAGGTGGTTCATCAGGTGGGTGCCGTAGCCCTGCAGGGGAGGTGCGACAGGTCGGGAAGGAGGTGGGGGAGCTGAGCCACAGAGGACAGGTGGCCAGCGGAGGGCCAGACTTTATAGAGAGAAAGAGAAGGCTTCTAAGGTGCTTGCTCAGGGCCAGATGCGGCCCTTCACTTGATTCTTCAAAGACCCATTTGCCAGCTAGCCTACATATAGGAATTAAACAGCCCATTTCATGGGAAAAACGACAAAACCCGAAAGCCAGTTACACAAAGAACAGTCTAAGATCAGCTGACCACAGAAACAGCAGTGTTGAGTTTCAACCCAACACAGCCTGTTAGCCCCACACCTAGGCATTTTTCGTTTTGTTTTGTTTGATTCAGGGTTTTTCTGTATAGTCCTAGCTGTCCTAGACTCACTTTCTAGACCAGGCTGGCCTTGAACTCACAGCAATCTGCCTGCCTCTGCCTCCCTGAGTGCTAGGATTAAAGGTGTGCGCCACCAGGCCTGGCTCACATCTGGAGTTTTTAGAATAAAGGGGTCACAGAGGCCTGTTTATGACATCATCTGAACCCTGAACTCACTCATGTCGGGACCACATAAATATATATAAAACAAAAGAACGAGAAACCCGAAAGTAATTGGTTATTAAAAAAAAAAAAAAAAAAAAAAAGTCTCTGGAACTATCAACTCCTCAAGGTACATAAGCCTTTTTCTGTGAAGAAAGCAAGGTTCACTTTAAGTGCTGCTGCCTTGGGGTGGAGCTCAGTTAGCCCAGCGTTTGCTCCGCATGCACGGAGACCCGGGTCCAGTCCCCAGCAGTGGATAAAACCTGGCGTGGTGGCGCGCACCTGGAAGCTGGGCACCCTGGTGGCGGGGGAGGAGGATCACCAGTTGAAGGTCCCCCTGGATTACACGGGGTGTTTAAAGCCCGACTTAGCTGCATGGGGAAACAGAAAGTCCCAAAGTTTCACTCAAAAACACTGCTTGTTTAAAAGCGGTTACACAGAGAAACCGTCTCCAAAAACAGAACAAACAGAACAAAGCGTTGCTTGTTGGGGGCGGAATCCAGCGGTAGAACATCTGCCTTGTGCGCACAAGGGCCTGCATTCCATCCCAACACCAGAAGAAAAGTAAAACACAAAACCATTGCTGGGGCTGGAGAGACGGCTCAGTGGTTAAGAGCCCTGGCTGCTCCTCCAGAGGTCCTGAGTTCAAT